GATCAATATGATATCTAATAAAATTATAACAATAATATAATTACGTTTAGTGAACATAAATACTAATCTTAATTGTTTCAATAAATTTTGAAAGATATTGTTAACAATGCAATTTCGTTATGATAAATTTTGAAGGATATTATTAAAGTACAAAATCAATTAAAATTGTTGTAATAAATTTCTGAAGGATATCGTTGACAGTACAATGTCAATTAAAATTGCTGCAATAAACTTCGAAAGATATCGTTGACAGTGTAATATTGATTAAAATTGTTGTGATAAACTTCGAAGGATATCGTTGACAGTGCAATGTCAATTAAAATTGCTGTGATAAACTTCGAAAGATATTGTTAACAATATAATGTCAATTAAAATTGTTGCGATAAACTTTGAAGGATATCGTTAACAGTATAATGTTAATTAAAATTGCTGTAATAAACTTCGAAAGATATCGTTGACAGTACAATGTCAATTAAAAATTGCAGTAATATAAATACAAGTGACCATTGAAACGATATATTATGAATATCTAACATAAATGAAGGTTATTGATATAAAATTACTACGAAAATAATAATATTTGTAAAATTTCGTACATGAAGATATTAAAATCGATAATCTTCGAAGGTTATCAATACGAATTTATTATGAAAACAATAATATTTATAAAATTTCACATATGAAAATATCAAATCAATAATCTTCAAAAGTTATTGATATGAATTTATTATGAAAATAATAATATTCGTAAAATTTCAGCATGTGAAAATATCAAAATTGATAAATTCGAAGGATAACATATCAAAAAATAGTAAAATACTTATGTTAACGTTAACTTTTGAAGGCTTTCACTAGAAAAAATTTCCTAATAAGAAAGAAGAAATAACAATAGAAAACTAAATAATAAAATCTTTTTTATGTTTTTGTTATTAATTTCAAATTTTCTCTTTACTTTTTTAAAAGCTTTTAGGATTTTATACAATAAATATATCCTTAACAAAGTTTACAAGAACCATTGCAAGTTTAACCTTGAAACCTACATCTTTAAACTTTTGTTCAATCATATTAAGAAAGACATAACCAGTGATCTTTTCATTATGAATAATATTATAATCTTTATTAATAAGTTACAGGTTTTTTTTTTCTTCTTATACAAAAAACTAATAAGTTCATCTATTTTATATTTTCAAATCACCTTAGCTAACATGAGAGTGAGATTTTTCCCAGTTGTCATAGTAGAAATAAAAGTTAGATCAGACATAATTTAAATATATTTAACAGAGAATGTTACATATCACAAGTTATAAAAAGTAATGTTACATAAACTTATATTTTTTATTTATGTATTATAAAGATTATTCAAATTGAGGATGTGAATTATACTTGCACACAAAATTATTTTGGAACCCTGAAATTGTAATTTTGAAGAAAAAAATTAAAATAGTTTTTTATAGAAGATAAAATTATTTTACTTAAAATTCAAAATTTTTTGACTATTCAGATTTATTCTTTGATTAAATATACATATAGCTGAGTACTTTTTTTACTTCCATATATAGAATAGATTCTGCATAAATCTCAAAAAGTTGAAATATCTCAAAAATCCAAAATCAATTTTGAAAACATGTATAATATGAACTTGGTTCACAACACATGATTATTTCGACTTAATTTTGATAATACTGTATTCTATTTGATATTTATTTTTTTTTGAGTTTATACTTGGGCAAGATATATACCAACCTTCAGGGGTATTGAAATGTTTTATATCAACTTGTCAAAAGTTTTTTTTTTTATTAATTTTGTTAGAATAAATTGTAATACAAGGAATAATTAAATTGTATAGACTTTTTTTTTTAAAAAAAAAGAATTCCTAATTATACATTCCTCCAAAATCGTATATGTAATTCTAAATTTAATTTAATTTCGAGAAAAAATCCTAAAGTTTTTTATAGAAGATTAAATTATTTTTTTTGGTTAAAAACCCATGTTGAAAACGATTTTCTCTTTGCATATCACATGATTAATCGACCTGGTTGATATTTCAACTTCGGCCGGCTAATCCGTTTAAATCGATCAAGCTAATTTTAAAAAACACCAATAAATGAAAGATTCGTGTCGATAAATTTTTCCATCTTTTCACAACACATAACTTTTCATTATTTGCTTTTTTATCTTTCTTTATTACTTTACCACCTTTTTTTTTTAAAAAACAAATTTTATTTTTTTATATCGAAATCATGGTAAGTTTCGTTCGTTTTTATTTTTTTTATTTTTATTTTTATTTTTCAAGTAAAAAATTATTCGAAATTTTAACATATATATTTTAAATTAATATTAGGAAAATATAACTGGACCACCAAGAGCTCCTGTTAGGTAAGGAAATCAAAAGTTTTTTTTTTGCTTAGTTGTTTAGCACGTAATCGTTCGTTTTATAAAGATATATTTGAAGCTGTCAAACTTTTTTTTTTATAAATATTTATACGTTTATTCGAAATAAAATAATTTATTATCATCATTCCCAATAAACAGGAGACGCACAACTCCTGGAGTTAATAAGACTGTTTCACGATCTGGAGGAAGTTCTTCTACAATGATGAGATTATACACTGATGATGCACCAGGATTAAAAGTGTAAATATATAATATTTTTATAATAGTCCTCAAATCGATTTATTAGAATTCAAATTCATTTCATGTATTAACTATTATTATTATTTTTTTTAAAAAAAATATTCTTTTTTTTTTTTAATGATATTTTACGGAATTTATCAATTTTCATCAATTTTATCAATCGATTCCTTTTTCATTACAATCATTAAAATAATAGAGATCCAGTTGTAGTTGTCGTTCTTTCTCTTGCCTTTATTGGATCAGTATTCATCCTTCATATTTGGGGAAAATTCACAAAAGCTTAATACAACATAAAAGTGTTATTGATTTATTTATAAATGGGCATTTTAAACACTATTATTATTTTATATATATATATATTTAATATTTGATTCTTTATTAATTATAATTAAAATTTTATAAATAATTATATTCCCCGATGCAAATTAGAATTAACAAATATTATTTTACAAACAAATTTATTACAAACAATTTATAAACAATTTTGTAAACAATTTACAAACAAATTTATAAACCAATTTAAATGGGAACTTATTAGAAATTCGTAATGTTTTATAAATTATATAGACGGAAATTTAATATAATAAAATATAATTTTATTACAATTATTCGTAATCCCCAGTAATTTCAATTCTTTTATTTGATCAATGATTCATTATCTTTTTACAAGAACTTTGTAAAGTCAAAAAATAAAAATAAACCTTCTGTCATAAAAACTTGATATCTCAAAGATGTAACACAAATCATCATTATATATTTTTTAGGAGGTAGATATAATTAGTTAAGTATTTAAATAACTCTGGGCCCTTACATCGAAGCTCGCATAGCTCAGTTGGTTAGAGCGTGGTGCTAATAACGCCAAGGTCGCAGGTTCGACCCCTGCTGTGAGCACATAATTCATTGCATTTTTTTTTTCTTCTTATATCACTTTGATCATATGATTAATGAGAGATTTTTTTTTTCACATACGTACAATAACAAACGTCGTCGAGAGTTTTATTTTTTTATTTATTTTATCGAAATTAACCACCAAAAATTTTATTTAATAAAAAAAAAAAAAAACTAGGATAAAAATTTTCAATTAAATTAAAGATACTAATATTTATTTAAATTATTTAAATAGGATTTTTTTCATCGTTTATAATTTCTTCTGGTTCAGCTTGTTGCAATAACTCTCCTAAAGATTTTTCGAGTGAATCAATTCGTGAACCCATTTCATCAACTACAGCATTAATAAATTTGGTTGTTATATGATAAATATTTTAGAATAAAAATTATGTTATATATATATCTTAGTTTATGAGTAATATCAAAGGATCGCGCCTAAACTTACTTTTTGTGACTAAATTTGTTGAAAAGTCATCAAATTTTGATTGCTTTTTTGAAAAGAAAAAACAACCATCAGTAATTAAATCAGGAATTATAAATAAAGAATATTTTAGATAAATATTATACGTACTAGTTGTTGGAATACTGATTCAGTCTTTATTAAATTTAAAAAAAAAAAAAAAAGGGTCAGAGAAGTTATAGTTTACGAAAAATAATTCGAGTTTTCATAAAACTAACAAATGTTATCAATTCTTGAGGTGAATTTCCTTCAAGAGTCAGGTCACCGTTAGTCTCGTTATTTGATGAAGCTTCCGGTTGAGAAGAATCTGGTGTTGGCGAAACTGAAGACATTTTTTATTTCAATTAGCGAATAAAATAGACCAGAGTTTACTACCACCAAGTATCACCAAAAACTTGATTGTGATGTGGTGGGTAAGGTGGCGTAGCAGTCCTAATTGCCGCAGGGGTGACGAATATTATTTCTTACAATTTAATGTGTATTTCTTATTTACTAATCAATTCTTTATTAATTTTTTTTTTTTTAGTAATTTAAAATATTTCTCTTACATTTCTTTAATTATATAAAGTTTGCTGTAACTTAATGTAATAACATATTATTTCATGTAATTTTTCTGTTTCATTCATTCTATTCATTCTGTAAAGTGAATGAAAAAAAACGTAATAATTATAATTCTGTAATAATTATTTTTAATAAACATAATTGAATCACCCAAATAATATTATCAGCACCTTAATTATAGTATTATATTATTAAAAAAAAGCATCTCAGAATTGGAATTTTCAATAGTAAAAGCAATATTAATCCTACCTGTTTTTTTGTTTTTTTTTTTTGCTTTTGTTTTAAGATCAAACCTGACCTGATAAATTCTGTAAATTTAACAAAATCTTCGTTGTCATTGAATTTCTTTAATATTGTTTTTTTTTTATTTAGCAGTTTGTTTATACATAGACGTATCGAGAATTTGTTTTCCACACATGGCACATATTCCTTGTTTATAAGCACAACCTAATTATTATAGAAATTGTAAAAGTTGTAAAATTTAATTTAAATTTAATAAATAAATAAATAATATAAGAATGATATAAATAATATTTACCTTGACAATAATGTGCATGTTCTTGATGTACACGAGACTTACAGATTTTGCATTTGTTTTCATATGGTTTGAATCTTTTTTTTTTATAAAAAAATTAAAAAAAAATTTATAAAATAGATTAGAATATATATATCAAAAATCCCATTGAAAAGTATATTGTATATTTTACCTGGCTTTTCCCGGTTTACTTAATAATTTATTTTCGTGTAATTTTCGATCAGTACCAACTTTAGAAAAAAAAAAAAAGAAATGATTAATTAGGAAAGAAATTTCAAACATTTGATTTGAAAAAATAAAAAAAAATACCTGTTGTGTTCCTTGATCCTTCCTTCCATTTATCAGGACAGATTACTTTTGCTAGTTTCTTTTCGCCTACAAAACATTTTACATTTTTTACATTAATAGTTCTCATTAAAAAGTGATCGAAATAGAACCGATAAATTATAAGAATTGTAAAAATTGGTAACTTACATTTCGAGCACACCATTATTATTTCTGAAAAGAAGAGAATTTAAGAAATTAGAAATTGAAAATTTGGTTTTATTATGTATATGTTTTGTACCACTTCATGTGATGTTATTTGATGTTATTTGATGTTATTTGATGTTATTTGATGTTATTTGATGTTATTTGATGTTATGCGTTATTAAGCATGTAAAAATATGCTTGTTTCGAAAAAACACTTTACATACTTTCAATGCCGAAAATCGTTTCAAGTTCTACTGTCTCTTCTTCGGAACAGATAATTACTCCCCCAGAACAACATCTTCATGTTTACTATTGTTTATGTAGTGAATTTATTCTGGTTATAGGTTTTTATCTTAAAACAATTTTCTTTTTATTGATCTTGAATATAATAAATAATGTAATTGTTTGCATTCGATCTAATCGTTGATATTAAATCCGATTAAGAGATTTCTTTATTGAAAATTTTTATAATCAATATAAATATATAAATATACATTAATTAATAATTAATTAATATAATTTTTTAGATGCACGCCTAGATAAATTACCTCGTCGTAAAACAGATCGGGCATATATAATTTCAAATAAAAAAAGAGTTTACAAATTGAATGCAACTGAGGCTGAAGAACCAGTTATTCTGGGAAGGTAATTATTAATTTTTTTTTTGTTTAACACGAGTAGATAGAAGGTTAAAGCTATATATTTGATTGAATCAAATATCTTTCGAACATTATCATCATCATCATTATAGTAAAAAAATAAATAAATTATATTATATTATTAGAAATAATGAATATGAAAAACAATACCGATTACATTGTCCGCGATGTAACCTTTTTCTTGCCTATGAATTTACCGAAAAAAGAAAAAGTGGACCTTTTACATATATTCTGGAAGGAAGCCTAACAGAAAATCAAGGTGTCGTACCACGTGATGCGATCCCTAATCAAGAAAAATAAATGGAATAAAAGAACCCCCCCCCCCAAAAAACGCGTTTTTTAAACGTTTTCATTTTATTTTTTGGAATTTTATTGTAATAACTATTGTAATAACTTTTGTAATAATTCATTTACTATTTGAGGATTCGCTTTTCCTTTTGTAATTCTCATTACTTGTCCTACAAACCATTTGAAAACATTTTGATTACCTTCCCGAACAAGTTTTGCCTTGAAAATAATAATAATAATAATAATAATAAATGTTAATGATAATAATAATAATAATAACAATGAAAAATACAATAAAAATTAATAAATACATTTTCAGTATTTTGCATCACAATATCTTGACAAATTGTTTCTAATTCTGTAATATTGTTAATTTGTTTCAAACCTTTTTCTTCAATAATTATAGAAGCTAGACGCGTGTCACCTGAAATCATTTGTGCTAGAATTTGTTTTCCTATATTGCCTGTGGGTGTGCGTGAGTGTGGTATGTGTGTTGAGTGAATGTCTTTTCGCAATAAAAATTCCTTACTTATAAAGTTCAAAAAAAAAAAAAAAAAAAGATAATCTCGCTTTACCAGAAATATCACCAATTTCAATACAATCAATAATAGAACCTAATTGTTCTATTGATATAGGATTCTTAGAAAATTTAATATTTTTACGATTAAGAAAACCATATAAGTCTTGAGTAATCCTATTATTAAAATTATTAAAATAATTAAAACAAATAATCGTAAAAAATTAAAATAATATTAAAATAATAATAATAATAATAATAATAATAATAATAATAATAATAATAATAATAATAATAAAGTTTAAATTTCCTTACCAATTAGAAACAAGTTTTGGATTACGATCATGATGCTGCACGATCTTTATACGAGAATTATTTTAATCGTAAAAATCAAATTAAAGTTAATTAAGATTTATTGATTAAAATTCAAAATTAGATTTACCTTTTCAAAATATTCAACTCCTCCTTCTTCACCCATTAATGCCTTAACATCTTTTAAAGATATATTATATTTATTAATTAATCTTATTTTAAGTGTATCCGGTAATTCAGGCGAAGCATTTAAAATACGTTCAAGATATTCCTTTTGTTAATAATAACAATAACAATAATAATTTGTAAGTATTTTTAAATATATTGAATATCTTTTTTTTTATTTTATTTTAATATTTACAATAATTAAATATTATAATTATACCTGAGTTAATATTAATGGTGGTAAATCTGGTTCTGGCATAAATCTAATTAAAAGAAGTATAAATTAAAATGAAATATAAAAATATATAGTACATATATAATATGTAATTTACCTATAATCAGTATCAGTTTCTTTTGATCTCAATCTAAATGTTTTATTTTTTACCACATCGTAACCTCGCGTTTCTTGAATGATACGATTTCCATTTCGTAATTCATTTATTTGTCGTTTAATTTCAACTTCTAAAATTATAAAGTAAATAATAATATTAAATAATATTATTTCATTAATATAAAAATTAAACAGCGAGATTATCGTAAATAAATATAAATAAATATAAATATATAAATAAATATATATATATATATATAAACCTATAGCTTCCATCAAAAATTTAACACTATTCAAATTCTTTATTTCACATCTTGTTCCAAAAGGAGTTCCAACCTGATGAACAGAAACATTAACATCACAACGTAAAGAGCCCTAAATAGACAATTTTTGATATTAAATTACATTAACTATATTAATTGATAAAAGAATATAACATTAGGTCATATCTAACCTCTTCCATGTTACCATCTGAAGATCCAACGGCACGAAGAATATTTTGTAATTTTCGAAGAATTAAACCTGCTTCCTTTGAACTTCTAAAAAATTATAATAATAATAATTATAATTAAATATTATTAAGTAAATATTATAAAAATTACAAGGGAATGAATAAATACCTTATATCAGGTTCAGTCACAATTTCCATTAATCCAGTTCCCGCTCTATTTAAATCTATCAAAGCAAACCCTGGTTTTATATCATAAATACTTTTTCCTGTATCCTACTGTGTTCAATATAATCAAATACATATTAATTATCATCATCATTTCTCTCCCATATAAGAATTCTCATTATATTAAAAATATACTGTTAAAAATTTACTAAGAAACCTGTTCAAGTTGAATCTGTTTGATTCCCACTTCAGTCTCATATTCAAGACCATCCAAATGAGATAAAGCAATTTTACCACCAATTGATAATGGTTCTTTTTTTTAAAATTTAAATTGATTTAAATTTAATTTAAATTATTTTGATTTCTTGATCAAGATAAAATAAAATTTAAAAAATTTAAAATTAAATTATATCTCACCATAATGTTGAGTGATTTGATAACCTGCCGGTAAATCTGGATAAAAATATTGTTTCCGATCAAATGATGAAATCAATTGAACATTTCCTGATAACGCCAAAGATGTTGCTACTGCGAGGTCAACACATTTAGAATTTAATTTCTGGAAAAATAAAATAAAAAATAAATGCGAAATAAAATGTGAAATAAAGTAAAAAAAAAAATAAAATATATAATTTTTAATTGATTCATATAATTAATTCATTTAATTTTAATTCAGTATACAATTTGTAATGATAAAAATACCGGTATAACTCCTGGAAATGCAGCATCAAATGCTGATACATTTGTGTTTATAGGTTTTTGGAATGAAGAGGACGAGTCTATTATTATTATCGTTATTATTATTATCGTTATTATTATTATTATTATTATTATTATTCTATTATTACATTTATTTTTTTTTTTAGAAAGAAAATATACACGCACTAGAAAATAATTTTGTCTTCGAAGATAATTGTGCGTGAATTTCTAAACCTATTATTGCCTCCCATTTGTTGTCAATAATGAGGTTTGGTGGTTGTGTAGTAATAGTGGTTGTTGTAGTATATTTGTGCGAACATTTGTGAGATAAATGAAATAAATGAAATAAAGAAGGTAAAACATTTTTGTTTTTTTTTGTTTTATTTAATAAAAACATTCTTAAAAGCGATTATCATCCATCTTTCGAAAAAAAATTCTTTTTTTGGTTGGATCTGATAAATTTAATAAATTTAAATTTGAAATTTTAAAATTTATTATCTAAAAAAAAAAAAACTTTTTTGGGAAAAAATACAATGTAGATAGACATGTAGATATATATGTTCTTAAACGGTGTTTGACTTCTTTTTATATGGTCTACGTTTTTTTGAAGATTTTTTCTCGACTTCAATTACTTCAACTTCATTATTTATCTTCCAGATTTGGTTTGATTTGTTTTTTATTGTTGAAGGTATGTTGTTGTTGTTTTTGTTGTAATATTTATAATTGTTGTATTCTTGATGTGTTGTTAATTCCTCATTACTAATATCATTTCCAACATTATTATCTCCTTCTTCCTCCTTATTATCATTCGGATTTTTGTTAATTTTGTTTTTATAATTTTCAATAGTTTCATTAATAAAAATATAATTATTTACTTTAGCAATACCGTCATTATTATAATCATTATTTTGATCAATTACATTTTTTTCATTATTTAATTTGATTATTTTGAACTTAATTTCATTTTTATCATTTTTTACTTCGATCACTTCGCAATTAGGTAATTCAGTTTTTTCATTTTTTTCTACCACCACCACCAAATCATCTTTGAGTTGTTCATATTCATCCTCGGATTCTTCATCTTCGGATTTTTCATCTTCGGATTTTGTGATGGATGTCATCGTCGTTGTTGTTGTTGTTGTCGGTGTTATTGTTGTTTTTGATGCATAAAATCTAGGTGTTGGCCTTGTTTCGCGTTCTAAACTTATTAAGTAACCTAATGTTTCATTAACAACCATTTCTTCCAGATTATCTTCCCAAGATTTGTTGGATTTATTGTTATTATTGTTTTTGAAATTATTTTTGTCATTATTCTGTGCATTATTTTTTCTCTTATATCTCTTATCATCATCATCATCATTATTACTATTGACATCATTATCGCTATTATTATTGTTATTATTATTGTTATTATAAATAAAGTCTTGATACCAAAAAATATTATCTGACTCACGACTTTTTTGAATCGGAATTTCAAAACTAAACATTTTAACTAAATCAAAGTCGAATAACAATGACAACAATAACAACGAGGGATGAAGAAAAGACGCGAATTTTACCTAATCCTAAAAGGGCTTAGCATATTTCATAAAAAATCAGTGTAACTATAAATAAAAAAAAAATAAAAAATTAAATCGATTTACTTTAAACATCTGACTAGTGTGCATTGTTCTATAAATAATGAATACCAATAGATTATTCGTGTCCCACTGGCTGATTATTACTATTTTGTTCTAAATATAAAGTTAAATATTATTTGTATTAGTACATTTATTAACTATTAGATATACATAAATTAATAAAAACCCTACGGTAATTTTATATTATATTTTATTTGTCAATTAAATTATTAAACAATAAATTATATTTTTAATTTGAATGAATTAGGATAGGAAATGGTTACTCAAGAAATTGTTTGGAATGATAAATTATACAGGGTTTGGGATAAAACATATTTATCTTTAGATATCAATATTCATAAAACAATTTCTCAGCGAGAAGAATATCGAAAAAATATGATTAGAAATGATTCATCTCTTACAGAAAATGAAAAGAAATTTTTACAAGATGAATTGCAGAATGTATATGATAAATTAAGAATTGATGAAAATTCAGTAGAAAAACAACAATGTAACAATTGTCAGAATTGGGATCAAGCAACTCAATACTGTGAATTTTGTATTCGTAAATATTTAAAAAATAATTTTAGAAATTGGACATCTGGAAATGAAGAAATTGACAAATTAAT